CCACCTATCAGCTTCTTGCAAAGATGTTATGACCTATTCATTCAGTCGCCTACGATTTTTTTCCTAAAGATGAGCTTGTTTTTAAAACGATGTCTTGCTTGTATACCAGTTCAATGTCGTTCCGTTTCTTTCCACCCTGCTAATAGAGGAAATTTTGTTTATTTCTTTGTCTGGAATTAGGCCCAAGGGAGGAATAAAAGTCAGAATAGTTGTGGTTTTTTTGTGTAAATATCGGTAATTTTTGTTATGAATGCAAGTCCAATGGGAAGTTGGATCCATGTGCAATGTAATTACCTATTTTGGTATCATTTTGAAGCCACTTTTGTTGAGCATTTCCGTCAGTTATCAGCTTATGATGTCTGCCTACCGGTTCATAGCATAGTCTGACGGGGCGTGGAAGAATTTGAAAATAAATTGATTCTAGAAGTGTTTTTAATGGCTTGTTGTTATGTATACTGCTTTGAAGAGAACCTTTAGATGATCCGTTAAGATCTCCCTCTTAATCCTCAAGGTCACACTAATCCAAATAACTCTCTGGGGTCGCATTGATGGAAAACCACTTTTAGTCACTAAAGCATGAAGTTTCTTCTGCATACACTGAAATACATCCGATTCAACTGTTTGTCGAATAACGGTTGGGCTGCAGACCCCTCGTCTATTAGGTGTTCAAAATGTCGTGCATGACTTTCTGAGCCTTGTTTCTTCTATGCATGCCTATGTCGAGCATTTTCCTTATCCAATAGTCTAGTTTCCATCTATAGGTTTGGCCCACTTGTTACAAGAAGGCGCCGGATGAAAAGAGGAAGAATATTCCTATCTCGAAACCGTCAGTTAAGGTGACTCTTGTACCATTTGTGCCAAATTCAAAAGTGATCGCTGAACCTCCAAATTGGAATGCTAAGGATGGTTCTCCTCAACCGCTAAACGAGGATAGTGCTCTCATAGACAGGCTCTTTGAGTAAGTCAAGGAATAGGGCTGTCAATTTGCGTGTTGTATCAGTTGTATGTACTCTCCTTCGGGCCAGTTTACTACCACATTTTCCATTTTGATGTCTTTGTATGTCATTCCCTTGCGGAGGGGCAGCTTTCTTGTCTTGCTGCACAAGAAGACTGCTTTTTCCCCTTCACAAAAAGCGTCTCACAAGAGAATAGGCGGCGCTGTATACAATGCGTGTGTATGCAGAGCGAGCTCTAATGCTCTCCCGTAATTGATGTACTGAGTGAAAAGAAGCTACCATTCGAGCTACTGTATTTGTGAATTTCAGTTTATTGGAATGTCATCAGCTTGGATACATGAGTGCACACACGTGGGATTCTATCTCTTTAGTCTATAATCACAAATTCTGTCGCAGGAAACTTCATTACTTTGACATATGATATCACTGTTTTTTCCTTTAAATTTTAACCTTGCTGCTATAATCTGAAACATTTGTGTTGTCATACAATTCAAAGCATAAAAAGACTGAATGGCGTCATGCGTAGTATGCTTGGAAGGGGTCTCGTGACTAATGTTTGAAAAATAGGGTCGTTTTTCCTGATTATTTATTGAAACGGAATGAAGTATAGAACCCACATAAAACTAATTTGGGTATGCTTGTTGTTCTGTGTGTATTGGTCTTTTGGTTCCACTATTCCTTTGTGATGGTCAGTGGTTTTATCTTTGCAAAATGATCAATGCTCTTATAACGTTGGAACGCGAGAATTGGAACTATTTGTACGCACTACTACCATAGCGTATGATTTCTCCCTGCAGTGAGTTCCACCTTTAGTTATTAAGTTTTTGGCATCTTAGATGTTGTTGGTTGGGTCTCTGAGTTCGGTTAATTAGACTTCTCATTCTAGACTAACAATGGATTCCATTCTACGTGTTTGTGACACAAATGCAAGCTTTATGTCGCATAGCCTAGTCAGGGCGAGCATGCGTAAGCAGCAAACGTGTATACTTTTTGCAATGACTTGTTGTTGTTTTGGTAAAACTACACTTAAAACCACTAGTTTTGCATTCAACTGCTCCTGCATTGAGTCGTTTTTTTAAACAGCGGAACTAGAACTTTCGATTTCGTCATCTACCGTCTTATTGACGCTTAAAATCTTGGCACCAAGACGCAGGTAAAAGCGCTCGCAAAATGGTACATTTTCGCCATAAATCATTGCGAGTTTTATTTCGAGTGGGATATTTTGAGGATCTTCATGTGGTTTCATCTAATCGTTGTGACGCCAAAGTAGCATTGCCTAAGTAAGATTTCCTGTGTGGCTAATTGACATCACCGTATGTTAGTGTGTTCAGTTCCCCACCTAACAAACGTCCACCACAGAGCTGTACAACCAACTCCTTTCGTTTGCTTTTTACTTTACATCATCCAAACCAATCCTACAAAACTTTCACACAATAACGCTCACTTTTGCGTCACTGCAAGGTTCCAACTTTAGCGCAAAAGTGATTTGTTCTGTCGTGTTACCTGCTGGTGAGCGTCAAAAATTTGAGCATTACGCTTTTTTTTACAATTTTTAGCGAAATCACCGCTCTTCCTCGTATTCGTCGCCGATGATCGCGAAGGTTGTACGTATTTTCCTGAAAATCATAATACATAATTAGCCATATTACAGCTTTATCTCTTGAAATAAAAATTATCCCCTTCCTGTGTCGTTTTTCCATACTTGCACTTTGAAGTGTTGGGATCGTTTCTCTTGATTTGATTGTGATTTTTTTACTCTTCAGTTCAATCACTTAACTGTCTAACTTCATCAAGTTGGTCGGCCGACTCGCCCCTAGTAGCTAACGTCCTTCTAGCAAACAATCGGTACCTTTCACTGATAGTCAGTAGTATCAAGTGTCTTGTTTTTAGTAGCACCTGCTTCAGACGCTTGGTGCAAAGGAACATAGGTTTGATTGCACGGAAAGTTGTTTTGCAGTCCCATTTGGTCATTCCTGAGTTTTCCTATTTAGTGCCAAAAGGCTCACAAGGGCTGTTCAGTCTGCGTGCTGAAACACTACCGATCTGTGAATGAGTTTTGTCCGTGTGAGAGACCTGGAAGGCTGAAAGTCCCAATAGTGTGATTGCAGTTCACACCATCAACGTTGATCGAATCATAAGTGATGGAACAGTCGATTGCTGTTCAGCTGCGACAGCATTTACGGAGTTGTCAGAGTACTCAAGCGATATACAGCCAAAGATCACGTGAGTGATGTTTGACAGCTGACATTGCTTGAATACTGCTCTACCTGGCAAGTTTTAGATGTCGTGGAGAATGATTAACTTGGAGCAGTGATGCCTGATAACTGCCCAGTTAGTTATGTGAATAGCAGATTCCGGGACTCGCGAACATGACTCCATCGCTGTTCACTGTCTCATTTACACCACCTACCAGACCGATCTCAAGATGAGCTTTAATGGATACACTTGAATGTTTTCAACCTGGATGTTCGAAGTGCTCATATCAAGCGCTTACCGCATACACTAAAGTTATATACCAAGAAAGTTCGATGTTTTCTGGAAGACCTATTTATTGTCTTGTGGTCCGATAAATTTTTGTCGATGTTAGGTCACGTTAACTGAATGGCTCAATGTGGTTGAGTGGGATTAACCAAGGATGAAAAGGTTATGACTTCACAAACCGCTATCACTCAGCGATGTGGACTCCTAAGTGAATGTCATGAATGTTTTATATATTGGAAACACTTTAATATTGTCAACTTGCCTTAAGTTTACCCTAAAGTCGGAAGAGGGGTCTCAAACCAGTCGAAATAGTCCACCGCGGTTAAGCAAACTCCCCTTAATGTAGCTGCTCTGATGGCCCTAAAGGCAAGTGGCAGTCGCGTTCGACGCCGTTGCTCGCCCTATCGATTTGTGGTCATGTCACTGTGATCACCTCGTGACCACGTGCGCTAACTTGGCGCGTGGTATAAAGAACACCAGCCCTCCAGTGGGAGATGAGTAACGGTTGCAATTTTGTGTACACCCTGCCCGAGTATGTGCTTGATCGAGTCGTAATCATAAACGGTAGCCATGAGCATCGTGTTAGTGGATTCAAATTGGCCAAAGCCAGTGATTACTTCAAACGTCAATTGATTGAGCTACGTCGAGGAGAGCTTGAGAAGTCGCGAGTTCGAGAGGAGGAGGATGAGAAGCAAAAACACTCCCGACGGGCTCGTGCTCGAAGTCTGTGTGATCTTCAAATAGAGCCACTTCACGTTAGTTATGACGATTTAAGTGGATTTGAGATTATGCTCTCCTTTACTCATTGTTCCGAGGAAGCAAGGAAGGATTTGACAAACGCCTTGGATAGTCAAAAACTAGTCTCTGTGTTAAAAGCGGGAACTCATTTTGAAGTACCAGATTTTGTTGAGTACTTCATTGATGCTATGAAAGAGAAGTTATCAACCAGCAATGTTTGGACCTACTGGACCGCTTTGGAGCCAATATCTGCAATTGCACCCGATGTGGCGAGCCACTGCCGAAATTTTTTGCTTGATCACTTCCTCGAAACTTGCATATACAATGATTTTATTTTACAACCATTTGAAAGATTGGAACCTCTACTGCGTGATGATGCATTGAATACCTCTAACGAACTAGACCTGTTTCGGCAACTAGAAAGGTGGGTAATGGCCGATCCATCGGAGCGCTGCATCCACCTCGGTGAACTTCTTGGAAGTTTGCGACTGGGTCGATTGAATCCAAATGAATTTAATCAACTCAAGGCTAGTGATCTTATCTCGAAATATTCGGATTGCTGCTGTAAAGTTCTAAACATTGCCGAGTCCATTATTGAATCGAACAGCACCAGTTCCAGTCCAACAATTCAGCAGCCAGGAGATGATGTAGAAATGCACGCTTACTTGAAGCGACCTCGTCTTCCACATGCAGCCATTTTTGTAGTGGGGGGCTGGGAGGGAAACCAAGACGATCCCAATTTTGGTCCGTCTCGCGCAATTCAGGTGTACAATTCACGAAGTAATACTTGGCGTCGGATAAACAGTGATGGAATAGCTCTTGACGAAGGTCATGCCTATTCGGGTTGTGTACTGTATAAAAATAAGATTTACATAATTGGGGGATACATAACCAGCGGACCTACTCAGATGCTCAAAGTACTTGAATTGGCGACAGGGACGTGGAAGTACCTCTCTCCAATGCATGAAAAGCGTAACTATATATGCGCCTGCCTTCTCGACAATGCTATATACGCATTGGGCGGTCACAATGGCCGGCATCGCTTGAACACCGTGGAGCGCTATGACCCGGAACAGAATAACTGGACTTTTGTATCACAGATGCGGCAGGTGCGGAGCGATGCTGGAGCTGACTCTTTGAACGGGAAGATCTACGTATGTGGCGGATTTGATGGGCACCACTTTTACGATTCGGTTGAGTGTTATGATCCAAAAGTGGACCAGTGGACTCTTTTGGCTCCGATGCAAAACATTCGGAGTGGTGTCAGCGTGACAGGCTTCAACAATTGTCTCTACGCTATCGGTGGAAATGATGGTCTGCAACGGTTACGAACAGTCGAACGATATGATCCAGAAACTAATCAGTGGCAAACGATGCCCTCGATGATTCGCCAGCGCAGCAACTTCTGTATTGTTTCAATGGATGATAGCATATATGTGATGGGAGGATGGAGCGACGAAACGAATTCGACAATAGCTCTTGTCGAAAAGTGGATTCCCGGAATGCACAATTCCTGGGAGCAAGTAAAGGAACTTCATTTACCAGCCAGTGCCAACTGTTGCTGCGGTATAAAAGGCCTTGAAGTAATAAAAGACTTTCTCTGAAAAGAGGAAAACTTCAAGTAGCTGCCTCCTTCTTACCCTAAGTAAAACACTCAAAAGCTTTTGCCTCTGAATGTGTGTACATTGTCTGCTCACTCTTATTATTTGAAATCCTCAAAGTACAGCAGCAAATGTAAATGCAATGGAACGAATACAAGAAAATCCTGCGACTTTCTTAACCATACTTCACCACTTTGTACTCCAACATTTTGATTCTTCTGTCTGCTATTTAATTTAGTCAACTTTATTGGGTATAATGACTGATTTAATTTAAATACCTAATTCATTATTTTCCAGAAGATGTGAATCTGGTGCGGGGATTAAAACCTCCGTTTTTCTCTTACTTCATGAAACACGGCAAATCATTACACCACTGACCTATTGTCCATAGTTCGAGTCTTGCAGCCATCGCCGATGGAAATGGCTTATTTTGGGGAGTTTCTTTTTCATTTCCATCCAAAGTCTCGACTTCTGTTGTGCGTCTCGCGCTTGAAATGCAGCATAACTTCCAAGCCGCAATCCCTGTGTGGGTGTGTAGGCGATCAGTTCCTTATAAAAATGATGAAATACACCGTAATGTTGTTATCCATTGTGTGAATACTGGGCGTCCAAGCAGTGGACAACGGATTCTCCAAGTTATGAGCACAGCCTTTCTAAGTACTAATCGTATCATCTCCACATATTCGATAATAACTTTACGGACATGAGACACCTTACAATTCCAGATCCTGTGCTTATCTGTCCCATAAAGCTAACTGTATAAGCCTTATTCAGTTGTCCAAACTTGTAAATGTTATAAAAATGTCATTTCGAGCATATTCTCAATCATTAACCATTCTCTGCTCTTTGCTGCGCTTTGCAGACTTGCTGCTCCGGTTCCGAAGTCCATTTATCTATCACTCCTTGACCACAACACCGGAAGCATTTCCAGTTTTGAATTGCGAATGACCAGTATGAAGACTGTAAGACGGTCGTTGTGTCTCAAATAACAGTGCCTTACCGGAGACATGTCTAATTAAGCTGGAGCGTCTGGTAATTGCAATAATGCACTGCAATCACTTACCATTAAGAAGCTGAATGAAGCTCGGTGAAGTCACCAACAAAACACAAACAGTGAGTAGCCTTTGATGCAAGACAACTTTGTTATACGGCAACAGTATTGTATGTCTCGTAAGAGTTGCTGTAAACTTGGTCATCTTATCCTACCTTAATTGCTCCTCACCAACGCGGAGCATTCCCATAGCATTGGGGAATAATAAAACTGCTTAGATTTGTTGCTAGGATGTTAAGAGATCCTTTAATACACACTGCATTCATGACCTGGATAAATGCTAAAAGACCAAATTTATTTGTAGATAATTGTACCTTACCTGATGAGCCCTAAGAAATTACAGGCATTTAATGAGCGACGTGGATGTTAATGTCTAATTAGACAACTTTGTAATGAGCGTTGACCTGCGAATTGGACGGAGTGGTTCGTGGGGCTCTCGGCGTTGAGTAGTGCCGCCAGTGAGTCACCTTGGTAAAAGGTTTTGTCAACGAACCATAATATCTCTTTACTCTCCTTGCAATTTGTGGTTGCCATAGCACTCGAAAAAGTATGCAGTTTCCTATTCCTCCTTGATAATGATAGCTGACTACACGAACAGGTCATTAACTGCGATCGTTATTCTGCCTTTGGCGTCCCTCGTGGGTCTTATAAGCTGTCGTAACCTATGAGCTATCCCAACTGTTTGGTGCATATATTTTACGTCTTTGGGTGGGCTCTAAAAGTGTTATTTTCTCTTGCGGTGAGATGTCTTGAGGACATACTCCCTTGGTGCCTTGCTTCAACTCACCACTCTTCACAGAGTTGCGCATGACAGAACTGAACGAGAAATCGCGGTATCTCCATCAAACCATAAGCATGGACAATGAGTCTTGCCTTCCCAAACTTCAAAAATCGCTCGAGTCTTGCTAATTTATCATCATTCGATTTTATTGTAATTAACTTTTTCATTGGTACAATTTTTAAAAATGACCAAAAATTCATCTTTACATCACACTACTTATGGAGAAAATAAGTACCAAGTTGCTTTGTTATTTTAAAGCACATATATATGGAGTGTTTGACTTAAGCATCCTAAAGCTACACTTTCTCTTAAAAGATTGCCTTCTGGTGCTGGATTTATGAGGAGCATTAACTTCATTGTTGTTTATTGTCCTAATTTAGGCATATTTACATAAGATTCATGCGATATGAAGAATTATTCCGGCTGTATCATTTTTCAGTAGGGTGGAAAATACCGCGTTAATTAGCTTTATTTGGATAGGTAAGTTCTAAAGGTACTAAGCCTCCTTGAAGAGCGGTCTTTCGGGACCGTCTTATTATTGCTGTCTAGGGCATAATTAAAAGTGGGTGAAGAGGATAAAGTGAATGCAAAGTACTAATTACAAATCCTTCATTTTAGCCATTTTAAAAGTGGTTCCAGACGCCTTTCTGTTTGATAGTGATCACTATCCCGACCCATCATATTTTGCTTGCATTTTTGATTTGGAGTTGCGATAAATAGGCCTCCTTTCTGTTGACTTGAAGGTAGACGGCATTTTCGGTCTTGTGAAGTCGAGTTGGTTCCGTCAACCGCTAATAAACACGAGTATGTATGCTTCTTGTTGTTACTCTTCTAAATACTATCAATTGCAACTTGCTATCCCCCAACAAGTTCTTGCCATATAGACCCATATGGATTAATTTCGTTGGCGCCTTTTCGGTCATGAAGTGGGTGGAGTCAACACCCACTTTTAAGGGGACAGGCATAAATCTTAAAGTAAAATAAGGAGACCTTTTAAGGCCTTTTGTCGATGCTATCCTACGGGACTTCACTTTGTCTAGAGTACTTGCGCAGTAAACTGGATGGAAGCCTTTAGTTTGTTGCCTTCATTGACAAACGATCCCCTTTACCTCAAGTTTGGCGGCCTACAAAAGGCTGTCATATGACCCCTTATAAACCAACTATGGTGTCAGCGCTAAGCTAAACGTACTTGTCAAGGTAAAAAATTTCCCTAGTTTATTTTCACTGTCTTTTTTTGGAAAAAGACGTAACTTCATTGTTGAAGACCCATATTCACTCATCGTCTAAACTACGTCTCGCTTACGACACCGACCTTAACAATGTCGCTGCCTAATTAGTCATTTGGTACAAGACAGCACGGTTTTACGCCCACTGCCATTCCGCCTTTTCTTTCCAACTGTCAACTCTCTTTTGCATGTAGTCGGGCCATACATCATCGACAAAACAAGGTGGTGTTCATTTGCAGCTTGGGTCAATGTCAGAGGAAGAAATACGACCACCGAGGGGTGGGAGTACCTCCTCCTCATCCTCTTCCTCCTGCTGGACGATATACGACGTGGAGAGTCCGGTGAAAAATGACTCAATAACATTGGCTGTGAGACAGATAATGCAACTGGAGTGTCGAGCCAAACCACTTATGAGTGGGAGGTTGGTCTACTGCTCCACATCATACCGTGCTTATGAGAGGAGAAAAGGTTTAAAGGCATCGCAACCGCATCAAGCTCCGTTCGTGGTGCAGAGAGTTGAGGATGAAATAGGTCGCGTGGACTAGCGAATGGGAAGGATCAGTTTCAGGTTGAGGCAGCACTTTGCGGTGTGAGGGTTGACTGGAGGAGGGAGGAGAGAACGCGGTGTGGAGTAGCGGAGTGGTGGACTGATGCGCGTCTGAGTTTAGTGGTGCATGTAGGCATAAAGCTTATGCTGGTGCCTACAGGTAGTGCCAAGTGGTTGCAGCAGGTTTCTTCAAATTTCAATGCAACTCCTTCGGTCAGCTCCTATCTCTCTCTTTTCTTTTTGTAGATGCTTGCACGAATTCCGTTTTTGATGTTTATTGTTAGTGTTAGCACAGCAATGAACTGCAACTTTTTAGAAATCTGACATTCTTCGTTTTTCTTGATCCTGTTTGCGCGTATTGGACTGTAAACATCGCTGAATGCAAGTTTTAATGCAATGAATTCATCAACTAAAGAGACATTCGCATCGCCTGCATTTGCAACATACCGAGGGGCACTGTGGAATTTCATGGTGTTCATTTGGATTGTGCAAAGCGTTTGATATGAAGTATTTTGTACAGATAAATGCCACGAGTTCAATGCTATTTTTGAACAAATGATGCTAAGTTGGAGGTGGTCAGATTCAGTGGTCTACATGCGAAATGGGTTTCTGTTTTTCTACTAAAAATGTCTACTTCCCTATTTTTCGTTTTAATGTGTTGTGGGTCTTCATGGTGTACAGAACAACAAACCGAATGTGTAGAGCGCGAAAACCCACAATAAGACGCACCACGATTCTCTTTGCCAGTAAATTAGCGTCGGTTCTTCCTCCATTCCGTACCACGCGACTGTGGGGCCAAGCGAGCATCCGGCGAGAGGTTATAAGCAAACGAGTAGCCGCGAATGAGCCACGTCTCAAAGGGGCAAGCAGTCACTGTTGACGATACTTGACCAATCCCTGGGGCATGTTAGAAGTCAACTTCTGCTCCATACGAAGAGTTGATTCGTGGGCTGTAAAGTTATGCCAGGGCTACTTCGTTTTATTCTAAATGCTATGCATTAGAGGGTTACATTACGTGTATTCTGTGAACGACTTTTAGCGCACTTTTAGTGAGTCCGATTTGAAGTAGGTTACATGAAAGCCTCGAATATTCACGCACTGCTATACTACTTCATGTACTTCTTCTTTTTATGTTGTTGCAATGCTGAGTGGAAAATTCCCTTCGACCACGAATCGCAATTTTTGCATCAGATGAAATTAAAGGCAAAAAGTTGTAAGTACCTACTAAATGACAGGGCTCGTGACAGCTTACGATGTGATTTTGAGCTGACGATGCTTTCATTTTTGCCCATGAAATAAATTTGCCTCTAACGTTCTTGTCAGCAGGACTAGCACATCGCTACTGATTCATCGCTGTTATTCTTTCAATCACCTCGACAAAACATCCAAAATCAGACAGGACGAGCGCTTTACCTTATAATGTAATTTAATGATGACTCCGCTCCCTTTATTTACTTGCTAAAACCAATTACGATCTACAAGGCAACGCTCTCTACTTTTCCACCCATCGTATTGGGACCTCTATTTGCCCAAGGGGTTAAGAGCTTATTCCTTGCGAGCGTTTGAGAGTTGTGAATGTCTTTGTCAGTTGAAGAGCACATTTTTGTCAGCTGCAAGGCTACACTTTGCTAACTCTGTAGAGTTCATTTGGTTACATAGAACTGCATTTAGTTAAACTTATCAAGAGTAAAGCCAGAAGACTTGTTGCCTCAATTCCCCTGCCATGTGAGTGCAGACATTAAATGAAACGGTCAGAAGTTCCTTTCATTTCTCAGTCAACTATGCCATTGTTAAGTTTATTGACGAAATTAGCAGTTTTTTTAAATTTTACCATTTACTGAAAGTCTTGGCAGTCCTGACTTCTCCCCACCCTCCCCCCTTCCCCATTTTTCTACAAAATTCTTGTTTTGTCATTGATACACATCGTATCATTTGAACCACTTAAGGCGGTGACTAAAAGACTGCAGAAAAATGTTGCAAAAAGTGTCCACAGGTTGACACCTTTGGTCTGTAAATTTCTCTTGATTTATGACGTTGTGTCCTTTTGGCAAAAAATCGGACTAATCAGTTGTCTTTGTTAAATAACATTGTTTTAGAATAACGTGACTGTTTATTTTAGAAACACAAGTCTTTTTGTTAAGTAGACACAATTTAGTTGCGCCATGGAGTTATGGAAGCTCTAGTTGGGCCGTGACGACAAGGAAGAATGCATTGCAGACGTTGGCATAACTGCTCAAAAGAGTGGGTAAGAAGAGTATCTCATGGTTGGTGAGTTTGGAGTGGGCAAGTAAACTGAGTCGACAAGCCTCTATCTCCGCTCCTTGTGGTGGATGGGGCTTAAAGTGCATTTGAAAGGCACACCGTTGCCATCTGACTTAACTGGTTCGTCTTACAGAGTTTTAAGCATTGCGATAAAAGGCTTTAAAATCAAAATTGCTTCTCAAACATTATTTTTTAATGGTAGGCAAAAGGAGACCATTTTTACTATAATAATGAGACTGACAACGACAACATTTTCCAACTAGCTTGGCTGTTGCAAATCGTGTATGGATGGGTAAGTGCTGAAGGAATGACGTAATGCCTTTAGTTCAACGCGGCTTAACGGTTGGTCGCCTTCCTCCATCTAACAGGTTACACATAAATTAAAAGTAAAAACCGTTGGTTTTTGGAGGATACTGTTTTTTGGCCTGATCATAGCATGAATTATTTACCAACTTCCTCAGACTGTTTGGAGCGCGCTAAATAACTTCGAGCAGCAGGCTACAGCTCTGATCGCACAAAACTGCAACGGCAACTCTTTCACCAAACAAAGCAGTAAAGCATTTGTAGCACTTTCTGATGTTTGTCTGTCTAACCTGAAGGCATGTTAGCGCCATGGCTGAGGCAGAGGAGTCGGATGTG